AGCGAGCAGCGAGCGAGCAGCACGAGGAAGACGAGGAGGAGGACGAGGAAGAGGAGGAGGAGCAGCAGCAGCAGCAGGGGCATTGGCAGCAGCAGGGGCAGGGGCAGGGGCAGCTCTGCTGCAAACAGAAGCAGTGGCAGGTTTTGAGGGCAGAAGCCGGAACATGAGTAGCAGCACTGATAGTAGGTCAGCTCTATCCTCTGTTTCTGTACCCTCCTCCTTCCTTACTTCCCAAGAACGTCAAGAGATCCTCTTGTCGGCAGCGGTAGAGACGTTCCTCGGAGTCAGTAGATGGCTAGGGAGCAACCCACATACCTACACATCCGCCCTCCATGGGCTTCTGCAGCGAGTGACGCCTGCGTGACTGCCAGGGCGATGAAGAGAATCCGGTTGGCCTGCCAGGCTTGCAAGAACGTGAAGCTCAAGTGCGACAACTTCGCGCCATGCACGCGGTCAGGCCGGAGGGAGGGAGGGGGATGGAGAGGAGGAGCGTGGCGCGCAACACGGGCAACGTCGGTGTATTACCGACGTGACCTGTGCGAGTGAAGTCGTTGAGATATCTTGCTGTGCTGGGGGGTCGATGTCTGCTTGTCTGCTTGTGTCTGTCGCCTCTGTGCCTTAGGACGGGCGGGATCTGATGAGAGTTTCATCCAGATGCACGCGGCTGAACATGCAAGGCAGCTGCATCAGAGTCAGAGTTGAGAAGGGGCGTAGGAAGAGAGGATCAGACTCGTGCGTCCCTTGCAAGCAATCGAAGGTCAAATGCGACGAAGGTCGCCCATGCTCGCGTTGTAAGCAGAAAAGGAAGGAGGATGGCTGCGTATACCAAGTTGTGGTCATCTCAAGACATATAGCAGGATCCAAAGACCAAGACCACGATCATACGCTTGCGAAAGAGCAAGCGCTAGTGCTAGAGCAAGAGCAAGGAAGAGACAGTGGGAGTGGGACAGACCTTGTCCAGGCCTCCCCAACCGACTCCGATCAACTTGCTTGCATGCAGGAGCTGCAGGTCGAGAGGCCGCTGGACTTCTGGGCCCGCAGCCTCTCCTTTGACCAGCCGTCTCTGCTGCGCGAGCATATGAACTCCATGGGCTGGCCGGACCGAGTGCTGGCCCGACACTTGGAGATTGGCTACTGCTCAAAGGATGTGATGAACATCTTCGTCTCGCTTCCTCCTCGCCTACAGGAGGTGACGCGTCGAGCTCTGGATGCGATGGAAATCATCATGGCAGACAAAATGATGAAGCAAGCTGGGGCTCTCCCAGCGCAGCTGCTGATGGGGAGCGAGAAGATATCAGAGGAAGACCTGGAGCTTGAGAGGGTCTTGTACGGGAATGAGAACTTCGGGATGGTAAATCACTACATGCTGCCTTCCACTGGGCAGCGTATGTATCTGTACGTTTCGGACGCGACATGCAGGATACTGGGGCTACATGCCGAGGAGGCTCTGGCGAGGTTAGCGAGCAGGGAACTGCCGCTGGTGATGACGGAGTTCAACTTCTTCTGCTACATCGTCTTCTCGACCTGGTTCTTTGCGACATACCCAGGACGCCCGCTGAGTCTGGTTGTCTGCATCCGAGATATTGGGAGCAAGAGAGAGAAGGGCGGCGTGATAACAAGACTTGTACAGCAGCCGGAGTTCGACTGTTACGGGCGGATGCGGTCGATGAAGACTATGATGTTTCCGGTAGGGAAGGGAGGAGAGAGAGATCGAGAACAAAGAGAGGAGGAGGAGGGGGGGAGGAGGAGCGAAATGGAATGTGAGTAGAACATAACAGAAGCTCAGCCAACTTGATTGAAATGCTACATAGATCCAGGGATACAGCAGCAGCAGCAGCAGCAGATTAAAGAAGGGAGGAGAAAGAGCAAGAGAAGGAGGTGGTGGTGGGAGGAGGAGGAGGAGGAGGAGGAGGATGGAGATGGAGCATTGAGGAGTTGACCGCGATACTACAGCTGGACAAGGAAAGTAACGAGTCGCTGGTGGAGAACCACCACGATCCGTTGTCGACGTTCAACCATCTGATCAGCGGTGGAAGAGACTTCGACACGTGGATCAATGACTTCGAGTCCGACATGTCCGCGGTGAGCATGCCGAGCTGGCGGCCTGCTATAGGCTGACGCTACAAGGGGGCAGGGGGAGACGATCTTGGGGATGCAGAAGTCGAAGCAGGGGATGGAGCGGCTGGAGGCGCTTGAGAGGGAGCTGGTGCGGATGTACCAGCCGTTCGTGGAGCATGCAGACAGGATCCTGAAGGAGAAGATGCCCGGCCCGGCGGGCTGAAGGTCGATGGACCTGACCTGCTCTCAGCTGTTTCGACACGGGGCCGGGCGGGACAGGGAGCAGCGGATGGGAGGACTGTGTCGCAGGGACTGAGATGACGGAGGAGAAGGAGGCTGGAGCCTTGCCTCAGAGGAGGAGGAGGCCCTCGGAGGAGGAGGAGGGCGATGAGGCCCTCGGAGGACAATCGGACCGTGACGGAGGGCCATACCCGGCGAGTCAGAGTCACTGTCACTGCTGTACGGTCAGTGGGCGGCTACTGACTGGAAACTTAACTTTCAGTAAGAAGGTTTATGTGGAGTCACCGTCACAGGCTGCCCTGGCAGGGCCGTGGCGCGGCACGCGGCCGGGTGATCGGACTCCATGATACGGCCCGGCGTGGCATGCCGGTAGGCTTCATGATGAATGATACGGTAGTCACTTTTACCGGATGGAGAACTTGCCAAGTAAACGCAGTGAAGCTAGTGGCAGGGCCCCCGGCCTCCCGAGTCCGGGTTAACTTGAAGTTCGGCGGGCCGGGGCCGGCCCGTGGTACCGGGTCGGCCGGGCTGGACTGTTGGCCCCCGACTCCCGGACTCAGGCGTGCGTGACTGTGTAAAAGAAAAAAAGATTTAGAAAAAAAACCAACCGTCAGACCACCCCTACCCCTTATAGGGTAAAGTACGACCCCTGTTCAATTTGACTAATTCTTCCCCACCCCCCTTCGCTACTTCATTTCAGGTACCCCCTATCTACTGACCACCCCCGTTCACCAGTTGAAGCAATCTTGGAAAATATTCTCGAATTATTGTATTTAATTTGAATATAACCAAAGATATTTGGTGTGTTAACAAATGTTTCAACCTTAGTTTTACATACTCCCTCCCTCAGTCCCCCCACCCTTGCAAGTCCCACCCCCCACCCCACCCTTTTGCGGTTCAACTGCCGTTACTCCAACGCTCTAGACCCTTTGCCATACCCCTTCAGAAAGTACCCCCACCCTCATCAAAAACAACCCCATGTCCCTCAGGCATTTCTTATCGTACCCTACCCCGAAAGAAAGGTGGAATTTCATGCTCAAGTACCCCCTATTTCAATCGATATTTTACCCTCACCCCAAGCAACCCTATGACCCACCCGTTGGCGTATGACCCCTACCAGTCGTCTGTTCTCGAAAGGAACTACCCACCTTCATTCAAACAATGCGCAAGTACCCTGTCACCCCTCACCGAAATAAATCAGTCTGACACCACCGGTTCTTTTTAGTCATATTACCCCTTCAAATTCATGCATAGTTTAAATTGTCACTACCCCCACCCCCAACTTAAATCAACCCACCCACCTCATGTAATTCCCAACCTCCACTCCGCCGCCAACGCCAGCAGGCAATGATCGAAAGCTGATCGCTGCATCCTATCCTATCGCAGCTGCTTTAGAGTTGTTTCCTTTCTCTACCTCGCCCTTCCCCTTCCCTCTCTCCGATTCCTCTCATCTTTTCTTCTTCTCCACCATCCTCTTCGTCCTCAGCGTCGTTCCCCTGTCTTCGTTACCTTGAAAACCTCCCAGAATTTTTGGAGGCTCGGACCGAACTGGGCGGCTCTTCTTCTCTCAGATCATACTTGCGGCTTTTCGTCACTTTCTCTATTGAAACCAAATACTAACCATGAACAGCGAAGAGAGCATCTACAATCTCATCCCTCCTGCAGTCTACATCCCTCCCAAGCAGCCTCTATACAGGAGCAAGTTTCCGGGAGCTGTTCCAGTGAACAAGCAGCCATCAGCTAGCATGGGTCAGCCTCACACTGTGGTAGACACCCGACACTTCCTGAAGAGAGGGGAGGCGACAGTCCCGACCGTTCGCAACCCAGCAGCCCTGGGAGTTCAGAAAAGGGAAATGGCCAAAGTGAAACCGCCAGTGCCGAAGAAGGACGAGAAGCCTGTGATGGGTCTGGTCTCGCAGAAGAACTACATCACCGCAAACGCTGTCGACAACATCCTCGCTGTGCCCAAGAAGCCCGTGTCGAAGGAGGTGAACTACTTGCAGAAGCAGGACTACGGCCAGGTGCCCGCGTACCTGTCGCGGGTGAAGGCGCAGGTGCAGGAGGAGTATCGGATGATCGAGGACATGCAGCAGAGCAACCAGCCGCAGAACGAGGAGCAGATCGATGTGCTGACGGAGGATGAGAGGGCGCGCCTGCTCGACGGGCTGAAGGCAAACTGGGCAACCATCAACAAGGAGTATCAGACCCTGTCCTTCACGCTTGACACGCCAGCTAAAAAGAAGAGGAAGGAGGAGTATGAGGCGCAGCTGGAGCAGATAGAGAACGACATCAAGAAGCTGAGCAAGAAGTATGTGTTCGTTCACAATGACAGGCTCTTCTAGTGCCTGATGTTTTCAAGAATCTTTTTTCTTTTGCCTTCCCCTCTTTTCCTGTGTAGGAGTTAACATAAACATTCAGAAACCGCATTTAATGCGTGTTCTTGGGAAGAGAGGAGGAGAGGAGAAGGAAGAGGATGCGTCAAGTCGAGGGCTCTTCCATGATGACAGGAGGATGAGGGTCGGGAACTGAAAGCTTCTGTCCTCGGGAAGAGACGATTCTTCTGGCTCTTGGAGACTCTCCTGCGATCTTGAGGGCCTGGGGGCTGAAGGAGGGAGAGGAGGGGAGGAACCTGGGGGAGGCAGGGAACGATTGAGTCGATCTCCGCATCTTCCCGTCTGGAGAGGATCAGGTCAAGGGAGCTAAGGACGAGCAAGGTGGTAAGAGGGTTCGACCTTGCTCGTTGGTCTTCCGAGCAGCTCCGGGCATCATGGAGATGGTTCGTCTCTTGAAGGAGGAACTGCGTCAAGCTCAGCTGGCAGCGGAAGCATGCGGAGCAGCGAGACCCTCTGGCAGCTAGCTCCTTCTGCTCCTCTTGCTCCTCCTGCCTCTGCTGCCCCTCCATCCTGCCGCTCTCCGTCCTCTGCACCCCTTCGTCTGGAACCAGCGCCACCGGCAACTGCGAGCTGCGACTGGGCGAGAGCTTCGGGGTAGCTGGTTGGCTTGAAAGCGAGTTATGACTCCTCGTCCTCGGGGTCATCAGCTTTCCGTTTCTCCCTGCTGGAAGTTTGAGGCGCTGCTGCAACAGACAGGAGGAGACGAGGAGGAGAGGAGAAGAGGAGGAGAGGAGGAGAGGAGGAGAAGAGGAGAAGAGGGAGGAGGTTGACAGAGACAAGCAGGAAGGAGCAGGAGGGGATGGGGCTGAGTGCAGCAGGCTTCACCTGCACGGATTCCACCCCATGTTGTGCGCCTGGAGATCTGCTTCTTCCTCTCCTCTCCCTTCGTCTCTTCGCTGCTGGCTGTCCCCGAGCTCGAGGTCCCTAAGATGGGGCTCAAGGCAGAGCCTGTCCCTTCCTCCTTCTCCTCCTCCGCTGGTTGTTCCTTGCTCCGTCTCACGGCATCGAGGAGCTGGCAGGTGCTGTCAGTGCGAGGCAAACGAGCGACTTTCCCACCAGGTCAAGGAAGCTCAAAGTCGTTTGTCGGTTGAACTTCATCTTCTGCTCAAGAGTCGTCTCAGCTCCTCCCCTCCCTCCCTCCCTTTCTCTCCCTCCCTCCCTCCCTCCCTCCCTCCCTCTCCCTCCCTCCCTCCCTCTCCCTCCCTCTCCCTCCCTCTCCCTCCCTCTCCCTCCCTGCCTCCTTGCCTCCCTCCCTTCCCTCTCACCTCGAAGATCTCAACAATCGTGTCTCTCCTCTGCTGCTGCTGCCCCTGCCTTGAGTTGAGCGCTATGGCCTGTCGTGTCGTCATTGTGTGCTTGTCGGTCTAGCAGCGGGTTCAAGTCACCACCTGCCTGTATATCTCAAACATCTTGGTGCAGATGCTCTTGTAGTACTCCGAGCCGTACACATGTACGTCTCGATCGCTCTGGAACAGAGCGAGAGTCGCTTCCACCTTCTCGTCCCGCGCAGCTTCAACTCTCTCCTCGGGACTGTGCTGGTGGTCGGGCGCTGCCATGGCAGGAGAAAGAATCTTTGTGATCAACTTGGGTCTGCGAGAGAGTTGTGAGAGAAAGAGGGCGGGGGAGTAGGTAGAGGAGCAGGTAGAGGAGGAGAGAGGAGCAGGAGGTAGAGGAGCGCAGGAGGTTGAGAAGCAGGAGGTAGAGGAGCGCAGGAGGTTGAAAAGCAGGAGGTAGAGGAGCGCGGGAGGTTGAGAAGCAGGAGGTAGAGGAGCGCGGGAGGTTGAGGAGCAGGAGGTAGAGGAGCGCGGGAGGTTGAGGAGCAGGAGGTAGAGGAGCGCAGGAGGTTGAGGAGCAGGAGGCAGAGGAGCGCGGGAGGTTGAGAAGCAGGAGGCAGAGGAGCGCAGGAGGTTGAGAAGCAGGAGGCAGAGGAGCGCGGGAGGTTGAGAAGCAGGAGGTAGAGGAGCGCAGGAGGTTGAGAAGCAGGAGGCAGAGGAGCGCAGGAGGTTGAGAAGCAGGAGGTAGAGGAGCGCAGGAGGTTGAGAAGCAGGAGGCAGAGGAGGTAGAGGAGGTAGAGGGTACATGTCAGCCGCTTGTTCTTCTTGGTTTCCAACGATGGCTGGTCGGGAGGGTCATAGAAGGAAAGAGAAAGCGAGGAAGCTGCGCGTACCGTCTGTGATGTAGTCCAGATACCTCTGAGCTCGCTCCTGGTCGCCTTCCGCTACCTGATCCCGCCAGAACTCGATGCTCGAGATGGAGGGAGGGGATCGACTCGGAGGCGACTGCGGTACCTGGGAAGCAGTGGGTTGCTGGCTGTGCATGCTCCCGTGTCCCGAGAGGGTCTGGGGAGGCGCATTAGGTCGGTGGGAGCGGGAGAAGCTCGCGATGGAGGAGAGCTTGTCGTCGTGAACTTCATCTGCTCTTAGTGGGTCACAGGAGGGAGGAGGAGGAGGAGCGTGAGGACCTTCACCCATGTCGAGAGCGCTGAGGACGTTGAGGTCCCTAGTCGTGGTGCTCGATTGCGACAGGTTTCTGTTCCTCTCCAGCGCCTCGAAGCTCCTCCATGACTGCGAGGGCTCCAGCCCCGTTCCCTCTCCCTGCCCTTCACTCTCCTGCTCCTCTGGTCATTCCCTGCTCTTCCGGTCTCCTGGCCTTCACCTGCTTTCGCTGCTGCAGCTGCTGCGCCAGCCTCGCGGTCAAACTCGATGCTGCTCGAAGGCTTTTGACGCGCTTCTTGAGCTGCGCGTTACTCTCCTCCGCTTCCTCCTTCTCCAGCGTCAGCTGCTTCATGTCCGCGTCCAGCTGTGCGATGAGCGCGTCCTTTGCCGCCGACTCCTTCTGCAGCTCGTGCTGCAAGTCAAGTAGCTTCTCGGTCGCTGGATCCAGACCCCCCTGCTGAGCCGACAAGAGCTGCTTCACCAGTATAATGTGCCTCTGCCAGGCCTCTTCCAGCTGTCCTATCGCAGAGTCCCTGACGGCCTCCAGCACAAGGCACCTCCTCCTCGCTTCCCTGTTCTCCTGCTCCATCACCTTGATCCTCTCCTCCAGCTTCTCCTCCTTCCCTGTGACAAACTCCGCATGCCTCTCTATCTGCCCCACAGATCTCTGGCGCTCCACCGACCTCACTCCGGGGCTCTCCGCCATGGCCTCATGTACCGAGCTCGCATCGGTTCTTTCTGCCCGCATCTTCATCACAGACTCCATCATCTTGCTGTAGAACGTCTTCATCTCCATCCTCAGCCTCTCTACATGGCTGGCTGCCCCCGCCATCACCATCTGCTCGAACTGCACGATGTTGAGGTTCTCGTCGGAGGAGGACAGGTCCTCAACCCGCCGCAATCTTCGGTCCGCAACCGAGTCCACTTGCAGCAGCTGCATGTCAGCTGCCGTCTGCGACTCCTCGTGCCTGGAGATGAGAGAGTCGATGCGGTAACGTAGGTCGTCCACCTTGGCTCTGTCGTCGGTGACTATGAGCTCTTGGTACTGCTGCAGCGACTCCTGAACTCGCTCGAGCGACTCGTTCTTCTGACTTCTGATCCCGTCGATTGTTGGCTGCATCATCCCTTACGATCTTCCAGCACACCACAAGGAGGGCAAGAAGACTTTCAGTCTCCCTCTGGTATCGTCGCTCTACCTCTCGCCATGAATCATCTCATCATGTTTACATGCCTCGCAGGCTGTTCGCTCTCGCTTCCTCTCTCCCGCTCGCTCCGCATGCCGCCCTTCTCCTACCCTCCTACTTATCTCTCATCATCGAGTCTCGCCGTCGGGGAAGCCGGCAACGAGTACTTCTGGAGGGGTGGGGTTGTCTTGTCCACCCATGGTCTTAAAGGGAAACTGGACTCATATGACCGGGTACTTTTTATTAAGTTTATCCATCCCGCAGGGTAGGGTAGACGGTCAGAACAAGGCTACGACCGGAGGCTGAGTACGTACCGTCCGGGGTTTTCAGGGGTGGGGTCCTGACCTATAGATATGGAGGTGATCGGAGGGGTGGTAGAGAGCTACGGGTAGGTCCGGGTTAAAACCAGACGGTCAAATCGCCGGGGGGTCAGTTGAGTCGGAAGTGAAGATCTTCAAGTTTCAGTGATGCCACTCCATCGGAGTAACCGGGCCCCGGGGCCCGGGTACTAAAAAGGCCCAGTTGCGGTATTGTACCGGTAGTGACCGGGAGCGGTAAAATCCAGGGGTGGTCTACCCAACCCTTGGGCCGCATGTCCGGAAATAGTACTAACAAGAGGGGGTAGGGGAAGGGGGCAGGTCGCACTATAAATGGACTGGGGGGTGATGGGGGGTAGGGGTAGAAGGATTGGGGGTAGAGAAGGAGGATATGTATGGAGTATTGAGGGATATGAGGTCGAGATGTGGGTGGGGTGGTAGAGTTGAAGGGGTGGGGGTGGGGTTCTCCGATGAAGCCTGAGCGAGATGCAGGAGATGCTCCAGAGGATGCAGGAGATGTGGAGGGAGGAGATTAAGAAGACCAAGGTGAGCGCCATGGCAGCCGCGGCTTCTGTATCCTGGCTGCCGCATCATGGCTGCAGTGATCGCTGTTGTGGTGAACTCTCATTCCCGAAGGTGGCGTGTACAACAGCTGTGTTGTTTCAAGCACGATGATCAGTTCTATTGTCATCTGTGTGCGTGACTTTGGTCTGGTCATTTCTATGTATTTGATACAGATTTCATTGCAAATTGCAATATTCGGTGATCAGTATGTTTGAGTCGATGTGTTGAATCAAGATGTCAGAGGAGGTAGAGGAGGTGATGTTGTTTCGACCAACAGGCTCTGTCAAATAATCTCTTCCTGGGATTCGACAAGCCTGTCAACGACGAAGCGAGGAAGGAGGTAGATCAAGTGGTCAGCGGGAGGTTGTGGTTCCTGGACCACTCGGGAGTTTGGTTCAACGATGCCTTCATCATACGAAAGGGGATCCTGCGTGGTGTAGACGAGTACGATGACCTTCCTGCGTTCGTTCAACAAGCCCTTGAGTTGGACGTTAACCCTGAGGCTAAGATGAAGCCCTGTGTGTACATAGCACTTGAGGAGGTCAAGGCATGCCTCGATGGCTCCTTCTCGGGGGTCTTCTACGGGCAGGGGCACAGACAAGAAGTTCCCGGCATCAACATCGTCGAGCATGACGGCACTGTACATCGGTTTGCGGTGGAGACGGAGGAGGAGCAGGATCAGTGGATCACCAGCATAGGGAGGTTGACGCACCACAGCAGGAGCTCGAGTTCCTCTGACCTCTCCTCCGACGAGCCTCCCACTAACGGCATGAGATATCCGCCGGTACCGCCGCTCCTCCTCGTGTACGAGCATGACGAGCAGGCTATCTGCAGGTTAACCCGACGCCCCCAAGGAGAAAATCGGTGGAGGAGCTGGAGCTGGAGAACGAAAGTCTCCGTTGTGCCCTCATGGCGGCGCTGGACAGGATGAAGATCTTCTCCGCCACCCCTCCAACAGACCAGGTGGTCTAGCTGCTGGGTCAGACCTGCTGAGTTGAGAGCTCTGGAGCAGCAGGTTCGGATCGGCATCGACGTGAAGCTGCAGGAAGGAGAGGGATGCGGAGGATCGGCGATGGAGGCGCGAGTGAGGAGCCTGCAGTCGGACGTTAGTGAGTTGCAGTGTAAGGTGCCTCCTGACCGCTGCCCTCCACTCCCCCTCTCTGATCCCTAGCTCACAGGTGGGGCAGCAGCAGGAGGAGATTTTAGAGCTCTCCTCCGAGCTTCAGCGGTGCCGTGAGGGACAGGAGGAGCTGGGACTGCTGCTGGACGCAACTGAAGAGCGAGTGAGGGGGCGCTCACCCGTTCCCAACTCTCCCCTGCTCTCTTCTCCTCTCCCTTCTCGTGTGCTGTGCTGTGCTGTGCTGTCCTTTCCTCTCTCCTCTCTCCTCTCACCTCACTTCGCCTCCTCAGGTCACGGCTGTTCACATGCTAATGAGCAACGTCGCGTCCATGTGGGGAGTAAGGGCGAGCCGAGGAGGTCAGGAAGGAAGTGACTTGAGCTGGTTCAGGAGGCTGAGGAGGAAGAGCGTAGAAGGATTGAAAGCTTGCATGCCCTTGCAGGCGACATCGAGTCCAACTACGAATGCCTGCAGAGGCGGGAAGATCAGCTCCTCCAGATCGTTTCGCAACTTGAAAGTTTCGTTGCTGTTTGCAGCCAGAGCATGGGGGCCGCGGAAGAGTCCACGGCAGCGGTGGAGCGAACGCTGCAGGTGGTGTCAGAGCGAGTCATGGAGAAGGAGGCTGAAGAGAGGTGGGAGGTGGAGCGTATAGAGCTGCTGTCAGAAGACTGCAAGAAGTTTTTGGGAGACGTCCAGACCGACGGTCTGCTCAAGGAGGTCGAAGAGATGGCGGAGAGGAGGCAGAGAGCGCACGAGGACTGGGGGGAGAGAAGGAAGGAAGCGATGTGTCATGATGACGATGATCAGTTGACGGATGGCGGAGAAGAACCTGATCCTCCTCTCCGAGCTATAGAGAGCTGCGAGGTAGAGGCATGCGGGTGGAGGGAGCAAGTGCAGAAGAGCGTCAAGGGGCTGGGGGAGGAGATATCGGAGCTCGGAGCGGACTTTCAGCGAGTTGTCCTCAAGCAACGGTCATCAATTAGCAGGTTGACCGACGGCATCCGCAGGATCAAGGAGGAGGAGGGTAGGAGGGTCAGCGCCTTACGAGCACTTGAGGAGCAAACGAGTTGTCTGCTCGCTGGGGGCGAGGAGCATCGAACACAGGTGGAGGGAATGAGCGACGCTGTGAACGCGATGGAGGGAGTGATGGAGAGGCTGGTAAAGGATGTGACCGGTCTGTTGCTGGAGAGGAAGGAAGAGCAGAAGAGGAGGAGTGCGGCGCATAGGTCGAGCGCATGGTTGGAGTCAGCAGCAGGAGCCTCCGGGTCTCCCGAGTCGTCGGAGAGGAAGCGACCCATGCTCGACTTCTCTCCTGTCGAGCGAAACTCTTGGGCCAGCAACACCAGCATCGGCTCTGACACCAGCTTGCCGGCAAGCGCCCGTTCAAGGAGCCGTTACACCTTCCTATGACGAGAGCATTCACCTGACCTCCTGTGGCAGTAGGGGAACTTGATTGTTTACAATACCAATACATATAAGCGCTCAACAGACATAGTCCATGAGTATCTACAGTCAAACTGGGGAAATGAAGCTTCTCCTCTCTCTCCTGCTCCAGCTGTCAGCCACGACACTCTCAGCTTGGTCAAGGGCACCTGGCAGCTCGAACTTGTACAACAGCGCCTGTCACACAGCCGACGAACAGACACCTGCAGCAAGCTTCACCCTCTACCCTTCACTCTGCTGCTGCTGCTGCTGCTCCTTCTCCTCCTCATTCACTTCCAACCCAATCCTCCCCCCCAGCCCTCCTCTCCATCCCTTCTCATCCTCTCTCAGCCCTCTCCTCCTCCTCCTCTCGTCACAGGGCATCCCATCATCTCCTCACATCATCACGATCGCAGACATCGTCATGTTGCCCGAGATCTGTCGAAACTCTTGAGCAAAAACACAACCATGTTCCCCTGAATCGCCCTCACCTCCAACCCTCGGCTCTTCTCTCCGAGGTCGTGAGCAGGGACGTTGATCTGCTTGTCCGCGCGCTCGTCCTCTGCTATCTGCACGCACACACCCACACGTCTCATCCCTCGGAGCTCCTGCACAGCACGCTAAACCTTCTTGTCCAGGGCAACTTTGGCGAGGTGTGCCCGCCGGTAAAGGTCCTGTCTGTGCTTCTGGTGTATGTAGGAAGATCGGCAGGGAGCAGGGTACGGGGGACAACGAACATCTGCATGACAATGGGATGTCAGGAGGACAGCATCTCCTCCTCTCCTGCTCAGAGACCAGTTTCTTCACTCCCATCTTGCGAGAGGATGGTGCTCCCCTGCAAGGAAGCTCGCGCGGACTGAAGGGAAGCACAAATCACATCATCGGGTGCCGCATAATCAACGACTTTCACCATTAGTTCCATTCCTTCGGCTCCTGCATTCTTCATCCCCTGACCCCTCGCCTCGACGCCTGCCAAGTTTCAAAATCTGGCGAGGGTTGGAACACGGTTCTCAACCAACCTGAGAAGAGCGGTAGAAGGAGCAAGAGGAACGGACCATAAGACATGGTTCGAATCCCTTTCCTATCCTCTCTCCTTTCCCTCTTCTTGTCCTCTCCCTCCTCCCAGCTCCCTCCTCCTCGCGGCCCTCCTCTGCCTCCACCATCTTGCACCATTTCGCCCTGGAAAATCATCCCCCTCGTTCCACCGGTTGCAAGGCCCCGGCAGGGCCGGCAGGGCCCGGGCCTAGTCGCCCGGCCGGTGGGCCGCCCGAGTCACTGAACTCCGCAAAAACATTTTAAAATTGGAACACAGGGCATGTACCCCACCCTCGATTTGAGGGCGGTTTTGTGTGCAGTGGGTTGGTCCTGGGGGACACTCGATTTGAAATTTCGTGATGGTGAAATATCTTCAAATATAGTCTATATTTTCAAACTTCTTTGAAATATTTAGTGTGTTTATGCGAAATTTTGAATAATTTCATTGCACCCTGATTGAACTACCCTACCTTGACTCAAGGTGTGTCCGAGATTTATGGTACCCACCTATATATATTCCCTTTGAAACAGCTCGTAGGACCGGGTACTCACATGAGCTGGTACGTAGTGGGGTGGGGGCCAAGTAAGGGACTATAGACAGGGTGGGTTCTCCATTCCCCGCTCAAACCACACGACAATGGCCGGAGAGGTAAGGGAGGACAACAGTGCAATGCACAGAGATGCGACAGCAGATGCGCTAGACACCCAGACTGTGATGTTGTGATGTTGTTACGAAGTGCTTCTGTAGCTCTCCTTGTGCTGATCTTGTGTTCTGAGTGAGAAAAGTCGATTTTGTCCGAAGTAGTAGAATGACACATGCATCTTGTTTTTGTGCTAACACATGTTATTCCTGCTTCAATATGAACCCAATTCCTCTTGGTGCTGTGATAGATGTGTTCTGTGCAGCGGGATTCCAGTACTTCACAGCTTGTTTCAAACTCATGCCTTGTTTTCAGGACGGAGGTAAGGGAGGAAAGGGAGGAAAAGGAGGAAAAGGAACAGCTTCCGACAAGAAGAAGCGTGCGCCGCAGTCACGCTCCTCTCGTGCTGGCTTGCAGGTTAGCTGAGCAGCATCCCTTGGTCTTCGCTGACTCCTGCCGCAGTTTCCCGTCGGAAGGATCCATCGCCATCTCAAGACCAGGGTGGCTCGTCATGGCCGTGTTGGCGCCACCTCTGCCGTCTACATGGCTGCGATCTGCGAGTACCTCTGCGCTGAGGTGCTGGAGCTTGCTGGAAACGCGTCCAGGGATCTTCGAGTGAAGAGGATTACTCCCCGCCATCTTCAGCTGGCCATCCGCGGAGACGAGGAGCTGGACACATTGATCAAGGCCACCATCGCAGGAGGAGGAGTTATCCCCCACATCCACAAGTCGCTGATCAACAAGGGACCCAAGGCTAAGGGCAAGAAGGCCAAGGCCGGTGCCTGAGCTCACCCCACTCACTCTGTTGTGCCCTCAAGCTCGTTCCCTGCTCGCGCCCAGCACTCGGCATCGAGGATGCTGCGCGGGGCTAGCAGGAGCATTCGTAATCTAGAAATCAAGCGACAGCTCGTTGATTAACCTTTAAGTGTTGAACTAAGTTTACAGTAAATTGAATCACTACTACTCTCCTCCATCACTCAGCCTCCTACTCTCCTCCTTCACTCAGCCTCCACTGGCCCCTCCAAGTCGCTCTCTACCTTCCTGCGTTGTCGTGCTTTCCTCCCCTTCATCTACTGAACGTGCTCGTCCCTTCCCGTCTTGAACCCATCCTTGTCACACCCTCTGCAGAACGAGGCTGGCAAGGACGGCTGCTAGGGCAACTCCAACGACGACAAGCTTCTGCGATGAGGTCAGGAAAAGGGGAAGGAGGATGAGAGGGAGAGAGTGAAGGAGGGGAAGGGAAAGAGAACGGGGGATAAGGGAGAGAGAGGGAGGGGAAGAGGAAGGAGGTATGGAGGAGAGGCAAAGGAGGGGAGAAAGGTAAATGAGAATACCAGCTGCCATCCTGTCGCTGATGCCCTTGGGGGGAGAATGACCTTGAGTTCGTCAGTAGGATGATGATGCGGTGATGATGATGATGACGACGACGATGATGACGATGATGATGATGATGATGATGACGAAGACGACGATGGTGGTCATGATGATGATGATGATGATGATGATGATGATGATGATGATGATGATGATGATGATGATGATGATGCTGATGCTGATGGTGGTGGTGGTGGTGGTGGTGGACATGATGATGATGATTGAGCAGGAGGAGGAAAGGTTAAGTTGGTAGTGGTGGAAGTGATCTGAGACGAATAAAAGGGAGCGGCAAGTGAGGAAGAGGAGCTGGTTGAGGAGCGTACCTCTTTGGCGACGAGCTTTTCTGAAAGAGCATACAACCTCCTTGCAGCGTCGCTAAGCTTCAAGTAAGAGCAGCCAAGGAGAGGACGGGAAAGAGGATGGGAGATGAGAAGGAGGACGTGGAGAGGAAGGGAGGGAGGGAGGGAGGGAGGGAGGGAGGGAGGGAGGGAGGGAGGGAAGGGAGGGAGGGAGGGAGGAAGGGAGGGAGGGAGGGAGGGAGGGGAGGAGGGAGGGAGG